CATTGAGGGTCCAGGACCCTGGAGAGAGCTGTGTGCTAAGCAGGATGCCTACAATGCCTGGGAGTGGGAGCCCCTCTGGTGAGGCAGTGTAGAGGGATCAGGTTCAGGGTTCTTACAAAACACTCAGGCGCCAGAAGGTATGTGGATGACTGCCAGGAAAAAGTCACCAGGTCTTTGGTGGTCAGGGAGTCACATAGCTCAAATATTTCCTCAAAAGAACCTTTAGATCTCCCCTGACATTTATGCTAAGGCCACATTTGCTCCAGATTGTTCCCATACTCTGAGCACATTTGGGCAGCCAGAGCCAGGCAGTTTCTGCTCGTGGAAGGAGTCCCTTAACTTTGCTTGTCCTCTTCATTGTCCTGGCACAGACTCTCTTATTATTGCCCCACAGTCTGAGACTCTTCCTGCCTAGTCTGCCTTCCTTCCCTCTCTTCTTTCCACAGATGTGAGCTGTGCATCACAGTCTGAAGGCTTTTCTCATGTCATCTGGCTCCGTCCTCTTCTATTTTTCATAGGTGTTCCCGCAGTAAATCTATAATCTTGTCTAATCCTATCTTGGCACTTGCTTCCAGGAGGGCCTGCACAGGCTCAGGGTATTTTCACAGATGAAAGCTCATGTTTCATATTTCTCAATAGCTGTACTGTTTTTCAGAGAGGCAGGGTAGTATAGTAAAAAGCCTGACTTCACTGGGTTCCAGTCCCAGGTCTGTTACTTTTAGTTGTGTGTCCTTGGCCTCTGTGCCCCTTTTCTAAAACCAGGACAATCACATTACTTCCTCTTAGGACTGTTGTGAGGTTATATGAATGATTTTTATACAGAGCACTTAGGCTCTCACACATATTAAATAATATCAGGTATTTTACCATCTTTGGTAGATGAAGGTAGAAGAGGGGAAGGATCTTATCAAGTCTTGTAGCTATAGATGAGCTTTGCTCTGGTACTCTCAAGGTTCTAGAACTCTAAGTGTATATGCTTTAGTGACTTTTACCTAGAAGCTAAAATTAAGGTACAAGCAAACACATGAACCAGTGAAATGGCATGTTGATTCCCCTAACTTTATATTATTTAACAAAATCCAAAGTATCTCCAACTTCTGTTCTTCCTTATATAGACTTTCACATTTTGAAATGTCTTTATATATATATATATATATATATATATATGTATATACACATACATATAAACTGTTAACCATTATTACAATAGTTCACAGTTCATGATATATTTTAAAATCTCATTTGATTCTAGAAAAAGCTCAGCTAGGTGTTACCTCATAATGAATTATGAAAAAAATAAGAGGAAAGAAACAAGGGTTCCTCAATTCTTAATGGTATCTTTAAAGACCCTTAAGAGTCTGAGGACCTCAGTTTGAGAACCACAGATCTTAAAAATATATTATCACCCTTTTCTTTTGGGAAGGAAAACAGGTAAGAGAATTGTCATTTTTGAACATTTATTCTGTACCAGAAAATTTTCTTAGGCAAGACAAGGCTTATATTTAATGGCTACCTTCTTTACTTTCTAAGTGTTTAACCAGTGTCATGAGGTTATTTCACAACCTGCTTCCATTGTGAAATCCACATATAGTCTCCTGAATGGAAAACTTATTTTTGTTATTAATGATATTGATGAAAATTACAAATGACAATTATAATAACATTTATTAGGGAACTACCATGTTAGCTAAGCATTGAATCTGATGGGGTAAATACATTCTTTAAACCACCCTTCAGTTTCAGAAGGGAAGCCATTTAGTCATCTAGATGGCTAGATGAAACTACATCACCTGTGTAGTTTAAGATGAGAAACTTGCTAAATTAACAGATTTGGATAATTTGGGTATACTTATTGTAATTGAAAATATTTTTAGTCAATAGGATAGCCTGGTTTACGTCCTAATTAAAGTACTTTAGGCCTCTCCTGATTATTCCTAATGTGTTTTTTTAAAATGAAGAAGAAATCAGCTAAAATAAAAAGAAACCACCTATGAAATGGGAAATATTGAATTATGTCATTGAGATATTAACATGTGTATTGTGTTCTTATATCTTTCTCTCCTCTCCTTTTCTGCAGAGATCCATGAGAGTAAGGTTTGTGGCAGAGCTGGAGACAGAAGGTACTTGAAGCCAATTGGTTTTATATTTTGAAAAGGATTATATCCTGACAAAATCAAGCTAGGTTTAACTAGGTGGGAATGGAGGCCATCTGAAGGCAGCAAGAGAAAAGAGGTCAGGATTTGTCGGTCTTTCCAGTAGCAGAGACATGAGTATTTTCCCATATCAGGCCCGAAGGAAGACTCTGGTTGGCTCAGGGAAGCTGGGAACCTAGTCTTACCAAAGATCCCCCTACCCAAAGGGTTGATGGAAGCAGCAGGGACAAAGGATCTGAAGATACTGGGCCAATTCGGTAAAGGTGCACCTCATCCCTAACTAGTGTGGAGAGACATCTGATGTCAGTGGGGATCTCCTCAGGCTTTGGTGCTAGATAAGACCATAGGATATTTATACAACCAATAGAGATGGGGAATCCTCAATAATAACGTTAGTGGATATCCCACCAACATGCTACGGTTGGATTTCAGGGTCATATTTATGTTCATTTAGAGGCAATGTGATATTTCTAACACGGTCAAGCATGTGAGCTAAGGAAATGGCTACCCACTCCAGTATCCTTGACTGGAAAATCACATGGACAGAGGAGCCTGGTGGGCTATAGTCCATGGGGTCAAAGTAGGACACGACTGAGCAACTAAACAGTATTATAAATAATAAACTAAGAAACTATTCTTATACTACAGAGATGATGTGTTTACTTGTGTACTAGGCTTCCTGTTCAATGGATAAAAGTCCTTGTTAAGAACTCCTCTAGTTGGCTAAGGCCCTAGGTCCCAAAGAGAACATAATAATTCTTCTAAGAATATATGGCAAAGTATGAATGATGGTTAGTTTCAGGTATGTGTGTGCTAGAAATCTCATCTGACTTCCCCCACCAATCTACTTTTCTTCCCTGCTGTATCCCCCAAGCTTACCAATATAGATATATCAAATGTCATCTTTGCCCTTTGATTTCCAATGTGGCCAAAGGGAAATACCCAGCAGTAGATAAAACGGAGGGAAGAATGAGGTCAGGTACTTAACCCGTCCTTCCTGGATTCTGTCTTCCTCAAGGTTTCTGTGAGCTAACTGCATCTTGAATATTCCATTCCATTCCAGTAATTCCTCCTTCCCCTCCCCCTGGCTCCTTTCTCTCACCCCAACTCCTACTTCTCCCCAGCTCCTATTCCAGCCTTCCCCACTCCCTTCTCCCTCTTCTTACCCTGTTCTCTCTCCTACTCTTGGCTAGAGGTAGTAACACTATGTTACAGACTGAATTGAGTTACCTCCAAACTCACGTTAAATTCCTACCACCACCACTTCAGACCCAACCCCCTCACAGTATCTCATAATGTGGCTGTTTGGAGACAGAGTCTTTATAGAGGTAACTAAAATGAGATCATTAGGGTGAGCCCTAGTCTAATATGACTGGCCTCCTTTTAAGAAGAGATTAGAATTTTTAAGTTACCCAGTCTGTGGGTGACTCCTCGACTGACAACTTGGGGAAAATTCTATTAAACTCCTCAAATCATCCATTTTGGGTCCCATTTATTTCCTCTTCAGACCCTGACAGACCCAGGATTGTGTGATTCTTATTCTGTTTGTTCTTAGTGTATTTTCCAAAGTTTCTGTGGTAACCATAGAATACTTTTTTCACTAAAGAAGTGTTGTGAAGCAAAACTTGGTTTGACTAGGGGATTTTCACAAAAGATGGATTTATCATCACAGGTGTCCAACACTGTCCCTCTTCTCCATAGACTCCCTAACTCTAGGATTCCTAATCTTATGTCCAAGGGATTATTAAAGCTTTGGGAACATGGCATCAATGCTGGAGCTGGGAAAGCTGCCATCCTTGGTCCCAAATCTACAAGTATGTCTAATACTGGAGATGGCTGCCCATGCTTCCTCTGGTGGGAAACAGCAAAGCTCTGCCTAACTTTAAAGGAGTGTTGCAGTACCCATTAAATATCCTATTATACCAGCCCAACTCATAGCGACAAGGGGCCTCAGGAACTAAAGTTGCTCTTATAAGCATCAGTAGAAAGCAATTCCACCCTGAGCAGTCACACAGAGGGGAGAGAAGGGGAGCTTACCTGGCAGGGTGCACTCCCAGCTGCTACACCCAACAATAAAAGGAATTCTTTCACTAGGAATCAAAACTCTCTCCTTCAGTACAACCTAGATCTTTCCTGAGCCTGCTGACTTCTCAGGCTCAGTAACATTAAAGACACACTGCAAATTGCTTGCTTTGAAATTTAGAAACAAATTTTATTTAAGATTTGAAACACGATTCCTAAAATATCAACCTCTCCGGAAAACCATGGCTACACAATAATGCATTGCCTCTATCATGTTAGAACGTGCATTAGACTCAAATACAAAAACCATGAAACAAACCACCATCCTTCAACAACTTGAGCAAAGATAGAATGAATGCCTAAGGAACAACATAGATGGACTTGCAGAGGATGGGCTGTTTTACTTCAAGCACCATAAAAAAAAGCACAAATGCATGGGGTTTTCGGGTATATACATTAAGTTGAACCTTTGGCACTAGGAATCAGGGCATTTTTCACGTAGCATTAACACATATTAGAAAATCGTGTAGTGTCAAAGGGATAGAACCACCAGCATTCAAGCAATGTTGTCAACTAGGCAATAAAATGTTCTACTGAATGTTTCTTCTTTGTCTAATTACTGCATACACTGGTAGCAACTTTGAAATGAGAAAAGGAGCTTACACTCCTTTTATTTTCTGTTTAGAAGAAAACAGAAAACAAACTGAAACATAAGCCCTGTTATACATTAACGATTTTAAAGAGTATCAATTATACAAGAAAAAGACTAAGAACAAAAAGAGCGTTTACAGATACCAGACGTAACAGTGAGTGGTCAGCAGACCCTCACAGGGCTTTGCGGTGGTACTCAGCAGAAGCCACTTTATAATCACTGGCAGTGAACAGAGACGCAGCATTTTTTGCCAGGTATTTCAGGAAATCATGCAAATAGCCCAACAATAATGCAAGGCTCTTCTCATCAAGGGGTGTGTATGCCAACATTGCCCCAATTCTTACAAATAATCTCAGGAGGTGTGGTGCCCCATAAACCTGGGACATTGGCGCATCAGGGTGAGCCAAGAGAATTTCAGCATACTGGGGCCTCTCAAATTTGTAGAGCAGCTGGGTGCCCAACATCACGTTGAAATACTCTTGTATCCCTCCCACCACCTCATTAACTGCATACTCCTTGTTGTCAACATTGCCTTGTGATCTTTTGCAGTTGGCGTATTCTTCCAAAATAGTATCCACGTTTTTCTTGGCTGGGAGTTGGAAAAGTTGCTTCTGCCTGGTGACTAAGTCCCAGTCCTCAACAAGCCATGGTTTTAATTCTTCCGGAATCTTCACCTTAACTTCCATTCTATTCTTAAAAGCATCCTCACTTTCAACTGTGGGGTCTGCCCGTGCCCTTTTCTTCCGAGGTGGCTGGGGTGCTTCACTGGTGCTGCCACCATCTCCGTTCCCAGGGGTCTTCTGTTTGTTCTTTCTGGTCTTCCTCACTGATCCTGATGGAGGGTTCTCAGCAGAGCGACCCCCCCATCTGCCTGGGAGTGCTGCTTCCAGATTCTTCTGCTGGGGACCAGCTGTCTTCTTTCCAGATGTCCCTCTCATTTTACTTCTTTGCATGTTGCTTCTAGTTGGTTTTTTGAAATTGTCTTCTTCGGCAGATTGGTGTCCACGAGTTTGAGAACCCTGCTTTCTGGAACTCATTCAACCCTGTTTTTATTCCAACCACTGTAATACATAAAGCATTTTATCTGGTTGTTTTCTATGGAGACCTTGAACACAGTGTGCTTCCTAAAGGCCTATTAAAGCACAACACACACTACTCTCTTGGAATCTGGATTTCAAATCCTATTTCAGGGCCAACCAATTAATTGTTAGTGTCTTACTACCTCTTTGCTCGCTTTTTGATCCCCACTACCCCCCACCCACTACTCTCAGCTTACCCAATCACTCATCAGACCTGCCCATAAATTAGTTTTTTGATGTCACTCAAAAGATAGGAATATAATTTCAGAGAAAGAAGGAATTAAACTACAAAAGGCAGTGGAGGTGAAATTCAGTATTTCTGAACAGGAAAAATGACAAGACAAAAGAAACAAGAAAGATTAATTTAGCTGCCTGGAAGCAAAATGCATACCAGCAAAGGTTTTTGTCTAAGTCCAGGTAGGCCTGGACTAGGCTGATGACAGAGTCAAGAGAAAGTGAATATAGAACTTGGTAAATGAAGGAGAGAGATGAGTCAAAGGTGGCCCTACAATTTTAGGTCTGGGTAATTAATGAATTAGTAAAAGCACTAATTTTTAATGGTTAGTTTGGAATTAGTAATAAAACAGGAAACAAGTTAATTCATTCATTCAAGTTAGTCTTCATATATTACTGCTTATGTACTTTGGAACAGGTATTATGCTAGGTACTAGGGATTCGAATATCTAAAGTGATGATTATGAAACAACAAGGTTAGTATAGTGATAGTTATAAACACAGGATATTTTTGGAGCAAGCAAGAAATGGTACCTAATGCTACTTTCAGTGATAGCTTGTTGGAGGTAATAATTGGTGAGGGATAAAGTCAGTGATGACTGCCAGGGTTTTGATAATGGGTGATTAGGTCATAGTATTATCACCAAATAAGACTGTATCTAGAAGAGGAGGAAACAGACTAGAGAGGAAAGAAGTTTGGTATAGACCTAGTAAGTGTGAGGTAAGGAGTTAAACATGTGACTTTAACACTTAGGTGAGAGATCAGAAGCAGAAATGGAGACCTAAGTGTAATCATCATATAGATAGGAATAGAAATCGTTCATGGAGGGTAGAGGAAGAACTGAACAAGTCTAGAATTCTGGACAAACCTAAGAAAGAATGATACTTAAGGGATGAGCAGAGAGAAGGACTACAAAAAAAAAAAAAAAAACCACAAGCAAAAATGGTTAGAGCAGCCATAGGAGAATTAGGACAATGTTATTTTGGAATCCAAAAAAGTTGAGAATTTCAAGATGGAAAAAGATGGTTTACACTATAAAATGCAGCAGAGAGGGTTAGTGAGATAAAGATGAAAACAACAGTGTTCTGGGATTCTTACTGAATGACAGATTAAACAAAGTCCTTTGACTTACGCAATCCTCTTCTTTCCCTGCCAAGAACTCCTAGTGTTTTCCCAGATGGAATCTTATAGATCTTCTGGGATGGTCGTGGAGATGAGGTGAGAGACACAACCTAGAAAGGGAAAGCAGGCATCAACAATGACCTTTTGTGAAATCCAGGAAAAAGAAAAAATAATCTAACTTTAAAACATGTGATTTATAATTGTGATAGCAGAGAAAACACATGGGTTCTGCTGTTAGACATACTTCTACTTCAGTTAGGCTGTCGTTTATGAGTTGTGAGGCTCTGGGCAAGATATGTTAAGCTTTCTTGGCCTCTTTCATCTATGGAGTGTGGCGAATTACCCCTAGGTAAGAATTTCATAAATACGATGTGGCTGAACAGCCAACACAGTACCTTGCAGGAGTATCTGCATATGTTTATAAGGATACAAGGATGTTCATTGCAGTGGTATTTGGAATACTGAAGAACTGGAAACACCTAAATATTCTTCAATAGGGAAATGACAATACAAAGTATGATGTATGCACACCATGGAAGAACATTCAAATGAATTAAGCAGATTCATGTACTGATGTGGGATGATGTTCAATTATACACTATTAGGTAAACAGGCAAGTTGCATAATGTATAATGTGTACAACAGGATCCCAGAAATAGCCCAAGTGGAGAAATAAGCATGTTTTAGACAGTTCTTATGAACAGTGAGGTCCAACTTCCGTGTTTTAAACTGATGTGTATAAAAGTACATCAGAAAGTATCTAGATGAATAAATACCAGACCATTAAAACCAGAGTACCCTCTGGGAAAGAACGAGATATGATGGTAGACAAGCCTGAAACCAGGTTTCTCTGGTAACCACAATTTTAACCCATAGAAAAAGCCCTTTTGCCAATTGCTAGACCCCCTGAGATTATGTGAACAGGTGTCAGGGAATCCCTGAAGGGGAAATGAGGTAAGTAACACTAGAAAACTAGAGCCCTGCATCAGGGAAGTCAGTTATTGGCAAGAGGCCTGGGTGCTATCACTAAGCATATGATTTCCTGACAGAACACAAAGCTCTCAGCAGAAATCTGAGCAAAGGTGCTCCTCAGCATCAAAATCTGTGAATACAGACACTGACCCTGTAGGAATCAGAACCTTCTGGCTGAGAGGGACATATAGACACATCCTGTGAAAGATGAGATGTGGTTAGTGTTTCATGGTATTACATCGTAAGCAACTAAGCTAACAAAATGTTTCTTACAAAAATTTTACTGTAACGGGGACAGAGGGGACACAGTATGTGAGGATATAAGAGTTTAGTTAAGTAATAAGAGGTGATATCCAGAAAACTTGAGAAATAATGGGCAGAGATTCCACAAACAAGGGGACAGTTAAAATACCAACTAAAAAAAGCAAGATGGCCCAGTGCCAAGCAGACTGTAAAACACAGAAGTGGAGCAAGGCTGCAGAGAAGTCTTTTGGACGTCACACTGGTCATCAGCAATTCCTTGCTGAGGAACCTAAGAATGACTGCTAAACCTCCTGTATATTCTTGGCATTGATTACATTTATTTATGCAAAGAAAACCATGAGGATTTATATGTGGTTTTCATTAAGTGGGTGAGTTTCATCATTCTCTACAAATTCTATTATTCATATCAAGTCCAAAGTTGAATGAAATGTCTGACATCGGACAGGAAAATACCCAGGTTTGTGCTCAGACTGAATAAAGCCAAGGAAGCAGGCTTTCTTAGAATGGCCTCAGCACCTTTATTTTCATCTGAGTATCCCACAGATCAAGTAACTATTACCTGGAGTCAGAAACCAGGTATCAAAGGGAGGAAAAACCATCCTTTTGATGTCTGTCTCCTACTTGTAATACAAACTTATTAGGGTCACTGCACTTTGCACCTCCCTTGTTAGAAGTTTACATCACTCCATCGCTTGGTGACATACGTGCTGTGGACATTCCTCATTAAAAATGTTAGCACTACACATTGCTTTGAGCTGTTTTAAACTGAATCTGCCAGTTTCTGAGTTTAATTTTGTTTACTGGCTTGGTGTACCGACTTGTTACTTCCATCATGCTTCCTCCCTTCATCTACCTCATCTACCTACCATGAAAAGTCCCATTAAATTTCCTAACTACTCTAGCTCCATCTCTGATACCATATGAGCTGTCAGTACTCCACGACTTAGAATTTACTTAAATGTTTCACCTGTTCTGCTTATGGAACTACACCACTTATCTCCACTTGTCATAAGCTTTGTGTAATATGTATCTCTCACTTTCTGCAGCAGCACTTGGGTCCCTTCTGGGTATACATTAGTGAATCAGTGAGGAGGTGATTCAACACATGGGGAAAATGGAAGCACAAATTAAGAATGATGGTCATCAAATATTTTCCCACTTGTTCCCTACATGTCAGTTCTAGGGTATGCCAGAGAAAACATGTTCTATGTTTGCCTTAGTTTTCTATCTTCCATTTCTGTGTAAATACTTTAAGGTAACCTCATCTTGGTATCAAATCTTAGATATTTAAAACCTTGGCTATTTTGACGGATCATTTCCCCATGTAAGTAAGGCTGGAATACGCATACATCTTCAGAACTGTATGAGATTAAACCAAATGGGTATACTTTATTCAACCACCCTCTTTCTGAAAAGTTATCCTCCCCCTCAATTTATCCTGTAATTAAAGGATTTTTTGCCCCCAGATGTGGATTTAGTAGGTTAAAAGGTAATAGGCTGCCAAATTACTTCACTCACAAATTGTACCGATTTTCAATCTCACAACACTGGTCTGCACTGTAACCTGATAAGGAAAATAGGTGCTTGTATTTCTTTTATTAGCTGTCTTGGTATTTTAAAAAATGTGTTTCCTGGCCAGTTATATTTTACATGTCCTCTATTCATTTTGAATTGGTTCTTAAAAGAGTTTTTTACAGTTGCTTATCAATTGTCACATCTGGGCAAATATTTCCCCCAGTTTATAGTGTCTATGAGATTTTAAAGATGTGTATGATAAAATATGTGGTTTTTCCATTAAGCTTAAAAATCGATGACATTTTAATGGATTTTTTAATACATTAACTCCTCAACCCACCCCAAAACTATTTAAGTTGTGAGCTGAAAATCTATATTCCCAAGTAATTAATTTTGTGGTAGCATTTGAGTAATAGTTCCTTCACATAATCATAAAACTATTACATAATTATAAACATCAAAATATATAAAGATATGGGCATCCTCTTACCACCTCCCTTCCCTGATCTCAGAATATATCTTCAAATCTTTTTATGTACACATTTACACAGAAACCTACTTTTAAAACTAAATGTGTCTGTTACATACATACTGGGATCATGTATCATGGATTCACTTTGTCTTGACAAAGGTGAGACACATATTGCCCCTCACGTTTTCTCACTTAATCATAGGCATCTATGGCCACATACTTAGCTCATTCTTTTTAACATCCACATCATTCTACAATCTCCACATAGTATAATTTAGCCAGTCCCATATAAATGTAACATTTAGGCTGTTTCCAACACTTCATTGTTACAGAAATGTTAATAGGTATCAGTGTACAGATATATTAGCATATTAACTA